TTAAAAAATAATCCTGACTATGGTCGTTGATGTTTTTTTAAATTAGTGTAGCACGCAAGCGGCCTGTCATAAACACATTAATACCTATTGAATTATTATTAAAAGTGTTATGAAATTACTTTTTGTTACCAAATCAATAAAAACTGTAAATGTACTAACAAATAAGCGAAAAACAATAATGTTAATTTTCACATTCGCGGCAACGAATATCGATGGACGACAATGTAAATTGTTTTTTGTAACTTTCTCGAATTATTCTAAATACAAAATTGATATTCTCAATTCTGTGCATCTAACAGTTTCGCAAGGACAGTCATCAGATCCCTTGGAAACTTCCTCGTCCTTTATGAGAACTAGGACGATTGCGACAGCGCGCGCAAAGATGTAACCCCCTCCAACCTCCCCCCTGCAGCACTAGAGCCTCGTGACCTGACCTACGTATACGCAAATTAGATTTATTCGTGACGATTGTGCGATGTTGTAGTGGTACGAGTACTTTGTGTCTTATAAAATCTAGCGACAGTTGCTCTACCAAGTACTGGGAAAGGCATCATTCGCTCGAGTAATAGTATATATTCTATTTTATCCGTTTGGTGACAGATTAAGAATACGGAGTGTCACCACCCCTATTCATCCCGTGGGTGCCGTAAAAGCCAACTAAGGGAGCAAACTACGCAGGACAACAGCACTGCAAAGAGAAGGAAAACTTGACACAATATCCCAACCCGTCTGGACAGCGTGGTATAGTAGACCAAAAACTCTTTTCTAAGGAGAGGCTTATGTCCAACAGTGGACTATAAAGGCTATTGATGATGTGATGAAATGTATTTTTCCCTATCCCTTCGAAATAGGGTTAAAAAGGGTACAAAAAGTCCTTTTCTGTATGCCTTACACGTGTGTACTTTAAGTTGAGTAGTCAAGGCATAACAGTGTAACAAACATACAAAGAAACAAACAAATTTATTACTTTTACGTTATTCTGCCTTATTTTATTTAAAATTTGATCAACATTTGATCATTTCGATAAATAAATAGCCGACATTGATATTCAGGTAATTTAAAATATTAGAGAAGGTGATTGGAACTAAAATTCAAAATAAGTGCGCAACTTAAAATCATAGATTTAGTTTTTTTTTTCAAAGGCAACGAAAACAACTCCTTACTGTCGTTTTTTTTTTGTCAAAATAAATGTATATTCCCCTTTTTTAAACACAATGTTGTACATAACGAATTGAGTTTTTTGTTTAATTATATTTATAAATAATAACGTTTCCGAGTGTGTCGCAACAGACTTGCCATTCATAAATAAAATGAATCGATTTAGTAACGAAAGATATAATTTAACGTGTAATGCACTTTCTAAATTACAAAATATATAATGGGTAACCGTATTTCAGACAATAATTATAGTTTAAGAAGACTAAAAGAACATGCTTTATTTAAAGAAAAAAGGTGTCCTACTATCTTTTTTTTAAATGGCATACTGACTTCAAAGGCCGCCGATGCGTGCCTTGATCTCCTCCCAACTGCCGAAGTAGACCGTCGCGGGGTTTAGTGGGTAGACGGGTTCTCCGGGAGGGAACACACGGTCCGAGTTTCCCCGACAAAGGGTTTGGTGCGAAAAGTATTCCCCGTGTAGAAAAAAAAGCAAAAAAATCACTTGATGGTAAGTCAATACCGACGACCATAGACACTCATAACTCAACAGCCTTTACAAGTCCACTGCTGGACATTGGCCTCTCCTTAGAAAGGAGGTTTTGGCCTACTATACCACGATGGCTGGGTTAGTATAGGGTTTGTCTCAAGTTTTCCTTCTCTCTGCAGTGTTCTTGTTCTGCGTAGTTTTTTTTCCCTTAGTCGTCTCTTACGACACTTACGGGATGAATAGGGGTGGTGACACTCTGTATTCTTAATCCGTCACCACACGTAATAGTTATAGTCAACTTAAACCACAGGTACTTTGTATTACTGCCCAGGTACATGTTGACCGTGTGTACCGACTACCAAATATTAAATAATGAATCACCGCCCAGCCGACTGCCATTAAAATGATAATATCATGTTGCAATGGCCTCGGTACATTGGTACTGAGTTAAAGTTTGGCCCACGCTTTGAACCCGATCATGATTATAAACAGGTTTCAGTGACTACGGCCATAGATTATTAAGACCAGAGTGGGAGTGAACTACACTGAGTTGGGATGCGATAAGAATGAAATAACTTTCTAAAGAGGGTGTATATCTGATATAGTTAATCTATTTCTTATTTAAAGATAAGGCTAATAGTTGGAACAGACAGTGGGCGGGAAGGGACGATACGGCAACTATCTGCTCCGGCTGCAACTATGTGCATGCGCGTTGTCAACTAGAATTAATAAAAGACCGTTGAGCAAAAAAAAAAAAGTCGTAAGTGAGACACTTGTACTGTAATGAGTATTTCTAGGCTTAGAGACGACCCCCTTTGTACAACCAGATAGGTCCTCTGTTAAAAATAACTTCCCTAAGTCTGAGCCTGAACCAAAAATACCAAGAGCAATTTGCAAATAGAGTTAGCCAATGTAAAAACAGAATATTTATCCAAAAATAATAGAATGAAATTTATAGTACTACAACTGCAGGGATTATTTTTAAAAGTATAAAATCTCACGAGAAACAGAAACTAAAAGAGTAATATTTATAATCTGTGGTATCAGAGGATAAGATGAAGATTTGATTCGTGGGCCAGTAACTTCTGACATAAGAGGTGAGACATAATATAATTGAAATATATCTCAGCTTTAGAACACTTTATAATGTTACTAAGATCAAAAGCTCGACAAAGGTCGAAGTCTTTTTGAGGAAGTTAGATAAGCTTCAAGGCCAACGTTAATATGAAATGACCTGCCATTAACGAGATCAGCAATCTAAATTGTTTAAAATGATTGAAAACCTATTTATAGATCAACAACACTGATCTCTGATCATTTTGTACGATATTTATACCTTTCTGAACATAACCTTAAACCGTGACATTTTAAAATGACTGCCCTATATACTTACATACGTAATACCATAATGTTTAAAGAAATAAAAATATTTAATCAAATTAATGGCGCTCTGATCACTTGATAAATATATACTCTTACATAAATTAGTAAAAAAGTTGTTTTTTATGATAAATTGTTATAATTTTCACAAAAATTGACTACTATTTAAATGCATTTTTATTTTATTTAAAAAACTTGATGATTAGTTTATTCCTCGTCATTTTTTAATTCTTGAAAAGCTGTCAATTCTAAATTCAAACTGATCCGATAAATTTCAATTCATAACCTAAATATTCTTTTTATTCATATAAAGACATGTGATAATATAGTAATGGATGCCTTTTAAAGAATAGACGAGCAAAAGCCATCATCTGGTGGTAAGTGATTGCCGACGTCCATGAACTTATAGAAATAATGATTTAATGTAACTTAATTTCATTTGAGATGTGGGCATATCAATTTAACGGTAACATGGTGTATCAAGCCGTTTGTATAGCAACGTCCGACAAGTTTCACTTTCTTAGGTCCATTACTTTCGTTGTTTTCACTGCCGGTTACGTAATACGTATTAACTAATACACGATTGTGTATGTAAATAAAGACTTCTTTGTTATTGCAAAAAAAAACAACGTTTAAAAAGTAAAAGTATTTGTCAATGGTGTTTGAAACAACATTAATCGTATCTCATTATTCGTATTAACAACAGCAGTTTCGTTATGATTTAATTTTTATAAGTTAAATTATACCTAGTTTCCAGTGGCCTTGACTCTATTGCAATATTTAAAAGTATTTTTAAAGTATTAGATTCTTTATTATTAATCTTATCTTTTAAATCTTTTTTATTTAAATATATGATATAAATGGCATAAGTATGATGATTTTAAATAAAATGTTTTGATAGTATTTTATGTTTAATTCATTAATAGCGGTTGATCAAAACAATTTTATTAAAACATAACATAATAAAAATAAACCTAGGTATCGCAAGTTGCAACTCAGTTCTACCGCATAAAGTTCTGAGATCTAATTAAACCGTACCGTGCAGAAATAACAAATAAATCTGTATTCATAATTTATAATCTATCTAAAACCTTTTATTAAATAAATAAAAAATGTTTTTCGTTATATCTACTTAAAAGAGTTTTCACACACAGTCACCAAACTTTGGAGAGCAGTCAATAGCCATTATATTCCCGTTTCCGCTCGTGAATTATTCCTACACAACATGCTTCAATTGGTATTTAACTTATTAAATGTTATGTCATTTCATAGTGATTGTGTCAATATTAGATTTTTTTTTTTTATCACATAACCATCGTTCCTAAGCCAAGGGACGTTGAAGGAGGTCTTCGAACTCAACTAGTTTTCCTCTCAAAGTACAACAAAGTTCAGACCTAAGAATTAATCCCATTGCCTAACATTTCTAGAATATATCGCATTTGTTAACTTTCATTTTGTTTTAAGTCCTTGAATGTAAATTAAATGTTGCGATTCAAATGTCGACTGCGATTGTATTTAATATTAAATCATTTAGTTTCAATTGCATTCATAAATATATAAAGTTTATTTAAATGATGTTTATTTACAATTCAAATTGAGAAGTTTCAAGTTTAAATATATTTTTTAGATTTAAATTAGATATTGTTTGATGGTTATCACTTTATTGTAAAAAACAGGATTGAAAATTGGAATAAAATAAAATAAATAGTCAATATTAAACGCGTATGAAAAATCCAAATAAAATGTAAACAAAGTAAATATTCTGAAAACTTCACTAAAGATAAAATAAAATTCACATGCAAAACAATAGACGCAGAAATGTGGTTAAGAACCACTACGAGATTGCAGACCTTTAATTTAAAAAAAAAAGCACTACGAAAATAGAATAAAAATATCCACTGCATCACTTTTGTGCGTATCCGAAATCCGGGGTGCGTTCTAAAACCACATATCTGCACTTAATCTTGACACTTACGTAAAATTTCGCCATTTTGGGAGTTAACTGTCACTAATGTCACTCGCGAACACGGGCGTATGCGCGAAGGGTGCGCGCGGCGAATGGCGGCCGAGCTCACGCGCTGAATATATAGCCTCCCCCCCAAATTATTATTATATTAATTACATTCAATGTTTTCACTGCACTGTCGATCGATCCAGATTATTTACTTCCTACATAGATTTAATCCCGAATCGTTAAATTTAAATAACCCATAGCAAGTTTCCGTTGAATTTACTCGATGCATTTCGATTTTTATCTGATCCGATATTAAAAATCGAATCTTAATTTTAATATGGTGATCGGATCTTTTATTTTCTTGTTAGTTTAGTCTGAAATAGTCGACTGGAATACAAGACATCACTTATTTGTGATAAAGCAACCTGTTACGCATTTTATGAAGGACAATATCTATTCTGTTTTTTTTTTGTTGGTGAATTATAAAGAATTTGTACATAATTTTATATTTTTAATGATACAAATGCAATCTAACTAAGAATATCACAAATATAGATCGATGCCTAGCTTTTGAACGACAACACCAGTTATAGATTAGAAAAAAAAAAAAATAGATTTTAATGAATAAAAATAAATGAAATATCTTTAGTATCATTAAAGTCACATAAAGATTTTGATATGTATGCGAGTTTCTTTATTCTATTATCATTTTTAAATGACTAAACAGATTTTGATTTAGAATCCTTAAAACATCCCAAATGGCACACATCCCAAATTTTATATATATATGAAATTTAAAAAATTATAAGCAATTGCATGACATTTTGTCATTTTCAAAAGTATGAAAGCAGTCGTATTATTTTTATTAAGTACAAGCTGGTGCCCGCGACTTCGTTCGTGTGGAATTTGATAAGCGCTGCCTAAGTGAGTTCGATTCCCGGACCAGGCAAAATTTTATAGGGTTTATCTGAGATAAAAAAATAGCCTAAGTTACTCCTAATATAGACAGCTACTTGGTAGTAAAATATTATCAAAATCGGTCCAGCCGTTTTGAAGATTACCCGGAACAAACAGACAGACAAACACAAAATATTTAAACTGGTTTTTAGACATAGGTATCGTGCAAATAAGCGTGTGAGCATGAAAAACATCTATAATTTTGACATTACAAACAGACACTTCAATTTTATTTATTTGTATGGATTGATTTTAGTAACACACACGGTTTGTCACTCTGCGTGTGGAATTGGAGGGATCCGGGAACTGCTGTTATTGCATGAAACTTCTACCTTTGTTCATTATTTTTCTTCAGTTAATCACGATTACGAAAATTGTAATAGTAAAATAAATAATTAGCATTGTACCCGTCTCAATTTTCCAACCTTAGTGACAAAACATATTCCTCAAATTTAAATAAGGCCAAACTTATTTCAATAATTTCTGTTTAAAAAGAATTATTGAAATCTGTTCACCAATAGCAAAAATATCGAATCGAAATTATTTAGGACCTCTTCCTTTTTAAAGTTATTAAATATATTCACCGGACTGTTGGTCTAGTGGTTAGTGACCCTGACTGCTAAATCGGAGGTCGTGGGTTCTATTCCCAACCAGGACAAACATTGTGTGATGAGCACGGTCATTTGTTCTGTGTCTGGGTGTAATTTATCTATAATATGTATCTATTTAAAAATATATAAGTATGTTTATCAGCAGTCTGGTTACCATAGTACAGGCCACCAGTGCCATAGTGAGATGTGTGTGTGAGATATAGACATACTAGCTGACCCGGCAAACGTTGTATTGCAAAACAAAAAACTATTACTTGTCTGTGTAGTGACGGATTAAGAATACGGAATGTCACTACCCCAATTCATCCCGTGGGTGTCGTAAGAGCCGACTAAGGGCGCAAAACAACGCAGGACACCAGCACCGAAAAAAGACGGAAAACTTGACACAAACCCTATACCAAACCGTCTGACCAGCGTAGTATAGTAGGCCAAAACCTTCTTTCTAAGGAGAGGCCTATGTCCAGCAGTGGACTATTAAAGGCTGTTGATGTGTGATGAAAACAAAAAAAAATTAGTCACCCTTACCATTTAGGGGTCACCCTTACCATTTAGGGGTATGAAAAATAGATGTTGGCCGATTCTCAGACCTACCCGATGTGCACACAAAATTTCAGAAAAATCGGTCCAGCCGTTTCGTAGGAGTATGGTAACTAACATTGTGACACGAGAATTTTATATAAGAATTTTAGAAATATAAGATATTAATTTTCAAAATTTTTGTTGACTACGTTACTAGTATGTAATTTAAAAATAAAATATATATTTGCTAAAATAGAAAGAAATCTACATACCGATACTAAAAGCGACAGTGTTTGAAAAAGCTTTAGTAATAAATAGAGTTTTTATTTAAGACTAATAAGTTTTGCTGCAAAGCAATGAAAAAAAAAACAACACTCCTTGGCGTTACCTCGGCGTATAATATTGAAAAATACTCCCAACATTATTGACGTCACACGTGCCTCGACAACCCTATTACTTAGTTCTGGTAACTGTACCCACTCACAACTGAAAATCAACACTACACTGATAATCCAAGCCTTGAGGCACCTCCACACTGACAGAGGATACTCAAATTTAAACAAGAACTGCCATAGTTTTTCAAGAATTCTCACATTCTATAGGCCGAATGTGAATACGTTCCCCTTGCCAACCATAACTCACTGGTAAGATGCAGTGTTGCCACTTACTTAACAATATTACATATTACGCTAGCAATTACAGCAGAATTAATGTCTTACATAATAAAATTACGTTGTTAGACTCGATAGTTTTGCATTGCACGCTTTAAAATCCAGAGGTATTTTTAGAACCTTAATGAAAGTTATATTGTAAATAAACACATTGTTTGTTAATATATTGTTGTATTGCTAAGGTTTCTTTTAGATATTAATTTCGAGACTATTTTTAACAATAAGTTCGGAATGTCTAGAAGAAGACAGGTGAACACTAATAACAGAGAGAGCTGATAATAGGAAATAGGGCTCAAGAGCATTTAAAAGAAAATCGTTAACTGGTATTGGGTAAAAAAGATTACTGCTTTACTGCAATTTCTACATAAAATTACTCTTCAACGGTACCTATCTAAGGAATACACAGCGCGCTACAGAATAACTCGGCGTAAATCGCACAATGAAAGTTATCACACATTTCGCAAAGCATGACCTCTTCACCGGGTCGTAGGATCCACAATTTATGTTGGAGGGATAAAACACATGCTGCTCCACAAGATTCTAGATTTTTATAGAAATTTCCACCTGTGCACTATAAAGAAAGAAATACCTTCTGTATCAAGCCCTTAATCCACATGTGTTATTATTATAACTATGTTGTAAGCAAGTGTTTGCATTACCACCAGAAATAATAGATGCCAATTGTGGCCAAATCTATTCTGCTATCACCGAATAGGACTATTGAACATTACCGCAGCGTACACCGTCCCCAGAACCAATATATTTAAACGAAAAACAGTTTAAATAGCTTCTATTCAGTTTATTATACCTTCAGTCTTTTACAGAATACTGTTGCAAACTTAACCTTATTTTACATTTCATCATCATCATCATCATCATCATCATCATCATCAACAGCCTTTAATAGTCCACTGCTGTACATAGGCCTCTCTTTAGAAAAGAGGTTTTGGCTTACTATACCACGCTGGCCAGACGGGTTGGTATAGGGTTTGTTTCAAGTTTTCCTTCTCTTTGCAGTGCTGTTGTCATATTACGACTAGGTATATAACCATATATTACACGTATAATTTAATTTGACTGATATAATATTGAGTTTTTTAATGGCCATTTCTAATGCTATTAGTTTTGTAATTTAATTAAATTGTGTTCATTATTTATCTCTATACTCAGATGATATCACAAAATACATTTGCATGTCTAAAGTGTTTGAAACATGGTCTAGTTTTAAGATTTCTTCTGAGCAACAACACTTAAGGCAAATAAACTATTTTTATTATAAACTTCTGCTACTAAACTACTACTAAACTTATATTGCCGGCAGACTGCTTCTCAGCTTGAACTTTAAATTAAAAAGCAATGTCAATGTTACGAAAATTTGAAGGTTTTGACTATCAAATGATTTAGAATTTCCTTCGGAATCAATAATCGAGATATTAGGGCAATTAATTTAATGATTTAACTTTATTAATAGCCATTAAATGAGTACAACATAAAATTATCGTGTAAACATATCTGTAAGGTTATTGGTACAGAATGCAGAAGCAGGAACGAACTCATAAATAAGTAATCACTTAATGGTTAGTGTTGTATGTGTTAATTTGTCTATGATTTATTATATTTTTTACGTAATTATATTGGAAGAAGATCAGTTTAGATAATTGTGCTTTGATATATTTATGATTAAGATTGAATAGATTTGAGAATAAAATAGATCTTGATGACCTCAGCGGATTTGAGTATGACCATTTTGCATCGGTTTGAGTGTTTCTATGTATGTATTTAAAATTCAAGTACATGTGGAAACACGTGTGTTGTAGGGTTACTTAATTTGTTCAAACTTGTTGAAATCAATAACAACTGTACTTAAGTGTATTTTTTTAATTTTGTATTTAGTACAAAACGTATATTTTTATATGTTGGGAGAACTGCTAATCTTAAACCAACAGAGCTTATTTGTGATCCTTTTTCTTCTTTGTCCATTATATTACCGTCCTATTTTTTTAAATATTTTTTAATCCAATAGTTAGTTACATTGTTGCTTAACATTCACACCATATACATATACTCATACAAAAGTCCAACTTTATCATTTAAATAACATTCAAGCTACTGAATAAAAAAAGAAACTAGTATTTTATCTATGGTTCTATGAACCATTATGGGTTTTAGGACACGAATAAATATATTTAGATACCATTTTAGTTGCTAATATAAAAAATTATGTAGATATATTTAAATAAAACACATCAACATGCAACAGAACCGAAGAACATTAAAG